CGCATTTCCTTACCTGCAAAATCAGCCTCGCTACTACCTCTTGGGGTTCCTGAGGATGAATGAGTAATGGATATGCAGGTGCCTCACACTCGGGGGGCCCTGGCTGGATGGCAGTTTCCATTTTCAACAGAGCCTCAGGATCATCTGTTGTACTTTCATCATCTCATTTGTGAGTTCCCCTAGAGTTTATGGGGCTGGGAGATGTGAAAACACTCTGGCGGTTGGGGAATCACTTAGGATGTCATGGCTTACAAGCTAGTAAATAAAGGGAAAGAATTAAGTGTTTGTTCTGCCTTTCCTGTATGAACCATACCACTGAGCAGCCAAATAATAAGTCAGATTTTCTTTTTTAAGAATATTTCAGCTAACTGATGAAGATGGAATGCTAGAATATCACCAATTTGCAACTCCTAATAAATCAATAGATCCAGTCAGTGATCACCAATGGCTGCTAAAATCACCCAAGAAAATATGGAACCCAAATTTGAACAAGCCCTGAGTACAACTTCTAATTTACAGGAAACATCGTAGAGTTGGAATTGGCAAAAATCCATATTGTGGGAAATTCTATAGTACAAACAATTACGTTTCTTCCGTAAAGAGAAAGAAGAGAAACGCATAGAAACTTTAGATTTAAAAATACCAGTGAGATACATCAACCAATCAGAATATATAGACTTTGTTTGTGTCCTGATTCTTTTAAGTAATTTTTTAAGACAACCCTTATGACATTTATGAAACAATTAGGGGAAAAAAGATCTTAATGATTTATCTTAAACTAACATTTTCCTTTAATGATGTACATTTTGCCCTGTCCTACCCAGCCTCATTCTCCTGGATAAAGAACACGGAATTAAGAAGGAAATTAGGTTACTTCTAACCCTTGAGGGACCTGGGTCAGGAGTGCACACGGCCCACTTACCATGTCTAAATAACTAAAAAGCGTTCTCTTAGCTGAGGTAATCCCCTCCTCCCACCATTAAAAAAAAAAAAAAAAGAATTTTTTGGGTAACGGCATGCTGGCAGGCAACTTTTTTGGGGAGTGGTTCCAAGGAAGAGAAAACAAGGGAGGCAGGGGAAACTACCCCAAGTGTACATTATCAAACTAATCACCACTCTGGGCAAGTCGTTTGATCCTTCTAGGGCTTCTCCAAAGAGCCATGTAGAATATATGTCTGAATTATCTTCCTGAGGGGACGGAAAAGGGGAATATTTACCCATGGTTCCAGGTTCTGTTAGTCAAGGGTTGCCCAAGGGGAGTTAACTCTCTAGCACTTTGGGTTTGCACGTGTGTCAGAATGGCCTTGGAACATAGTGGCATGGGGACATTTGATCTCTGGTCCCCCATCCATGGCCTGTCCCCTTCTATTCCCAGCCTTGAGTCCACCCCAAGCCACAGGGGGCCTTTCACACACATGAGTGGACAATCTGCTCACACCTCCAAGCTCCATTCACCTCACCCTCACAAATAGCTCCTCCTGCGCCACCTGTAGGTCTAGGGGCAGCACACCGACACCGTTCTCAGGAAGACAGACCTGGGAAGAGGCCCAGGCAGCCTCTAGAGCCCGTCCACAGAGAATTTGGGCGTCCCGGGCACCCAGAGCATAGTCTAGAGCAGGGCATGGGGTTCTGGGAGAGCATGTTCCCTTGGCCTCATGGGCTAGGGCTGGAGGGGAGTCAGAGTGGGGGCCTTTAAAGGTACTGGTCTGAGGCCTGTTAGGAACCAGGTGGCGCAGTGGCAGGCGGGTGGGCGAGCGAAGCTTCGCCTGCCACTCCCTGTCGCTCCCCATCGCTCGCGTTACAGTGATCCATACCCCCCGCCTGACTCCTTGTCCATGGAAAAATTGGCTTCCACGAAACCGGCCCCTGGTGGCAAAAAGGTTGGGGACCAATGCTTTAAAGAATGGGGCCCCAGGCAGGACCCCTACTGCTCAGGCCAAAAAGTAATGCCAGTTCTTTTCCACCCACTGACTTTATCGGGCTCTGGAGTCAGACAGGTCTTTGTTAACCTTGGCTCAGGCTGCAAGCAACAACATTAGGGAAACTGCTCACCTGTTGAATTTCTTCATTGGAAAAGGGAGGGAAGAAGGCTGTTGTGAGGATTGAAGGAGACGGTATTACACGAGCAGCCACTCTGAGCCTGGCATATGGGAGCTCTCCACAGGGAGCAGGTCTGCAAGGGTCCAGAGGTGGCATCTGGGGTCAGGGTTTGTGCCCAGGATGGAGGGGACAGCTGAGGGGGCTGAGGGAAAGGGCACAGACTGGCTGCAATGAGCTTTTTCTCTGTTTGGTACAATTCTCATGAAAATACACAAAGAAGAGTAATTTAATAGATTTTCCACAGAGTCCCAAAGCTTCTTTAAGGCTTGTTCTAGGGACTTCCCCGGTGGTGCAGTGTTTGAGACTCCGCACTCCCAATGCAGGGGGCCCCAGTTCGATCCCTGGTTGGGGAACTAAGATCCTGTATGCTGCATGGTGCAGCCAAAAAAAAGACTTGTTTTAGATCCCACTGGACCATAAGCTCCTTGAGGACAGAGCTGCATATCATTTTCTGATAAAACCCTAGCTCTTAGCATACTGCCTGGCACATAGTAAGTGCTCAGTAAAAAAGCACTGGATGGATGATTTCAAATTTGGTGTATTTCTTTTAGTGGGAGGCTCTTGGTTCCTATGTTGGCTTCAAAGTTTCTGCAGACATCTCAAACTGGAATCATTCCCTGCCTCAACCCTGCCCCTCCCGCAGTCCCTGCCTCAGTGGGCAGCACCACCGACCCCCATGCCAGCGGTCACGGCAGCGTGACCCCTCATCCTTGATCAATTACCATGTCCCGGTGCTTCTATCTATCTGGTAGTTGTGGGGTTTTTAAAATTTATTTATTTTTATTTTTGGCTGCGTTAGGTCTTCATTGCTGCGCGTGGGCTTTCTCTAGTTGCAGCGAATGGGGGCTACTCTTCATTGTGGTGCGTGGGCTTCTCATTGCGGTGGCTTTTCTGTTGCAGAGCACGGGCTCTAGGAGCGCAGGCATCAGTAGTTGTGGTGCACAGGCTTAGTTGCTCCCTGAATATATCCTCCCCAGTGTAGCCAGAGTGGCCTTTACACATCTGACCACATCCCTGATGGGCTCAGAGGTAAAGCCCAAGCTCCGTGACTCAACTTTCAGGACCCTCTGGTATACGTCATCTGCCCCACTAGACTTGTAAGATCCTTGAGAACAGTCGTTGTCTTATATTCCTTTGTATCTCCTGTGGTCAGCCAGAAACTAAGTTACATAAATGAATACAGTTTTTAAAAATCAAAACTATTTTTTATCTATTGAGAAAATTATAAAATTTAAAATTGTGGACTTAAACTATCAAACATTAGAGATAAACCAGGACTATCTGAGCCACCAGCTGCCCCTCCCTGAGTAACTCGTGGTGAGCAGGGACCACATCCATGTTGGGTACTTCAGTGCAGTGCTCTGGGCTCCTGGCACTGACCTTCCTTTGGATATGAAATTAATTTAGTCCTGGAATTAGTCACTGGGCTATTTCTGGAAATCACCATCTTTCTCTGGAGTGGTCTGTACTGACTTCTGACACACTTAAGCCATGTGGCTGCTCAAGAGAGCCTGTGCCCATCTGTTTCAGAGAAACTGTCCTCAGGAATTCATCTTCCTTCTGGAAGACTGTGATCAGAAATCATGCAGTTGGCCTGTCTTCGTATCCATCACACCAGCTGTGCACTCACATCAGTTTTCTTTTCTCATCAGTCAGAGGGACACCTTCCAATGTTTGCTGAAGGGAAAGTATTCACGGTCAGATTTCTAGCATAAGGATCATGCCATCGATAGGTTTTATCTATTTCTTTGCTTGTACAAGCTGTTTGACATCACTGAGTCTCAATTTAGTCATCTTTATTTTTTTAATTTTCTTTAAATTAATTAATTTATGTATATTTGGCTGCATTGGGTCTCTGTTGCTGCGCGTGGGCTTTCTCTAGTTGCGGTGAGCGGGGGCTACTCTTCATTGCAGTGCGTGGCCTTCTCGTTGCGGTGGCTTCTCTTGTTGTGGAGCACCGGCTCTAGGCATGCGGGCTTCAGTAGTTGTGGCACGTGGGCTCAGTAGTTGTGGCTCACAGGCTCTAGAGCACAGGCTCAGTAGTTGTGGCGCACGGGCTTAGTTGCTCCACGGCATGTGGGATCTTCCCGGACCAGGGCTCGAACCAGTGTCCCCTGCATTGGCAGGTAGATTCCTAACCACTGTGCCACTGGAGAGGTCCCTCAATTTAGTCATCTTTAAATGGAGACAAAAATTGTAAATATCTGATGAGGTTATTGTGAAGATTAAATGAGACGACGTGTGTACTGGGTTGAACATCACGTTGTAAAGGTTTTATAAATGTCAAGTACTTAGGTTTTTTATACTTTGTTTTAAAACAAGATTTTGGGGAGTTACTAAAACATGTGCAAAATTATAAGATTAACATAGGGTAAATGAGAAAGCCAGAGTTAGGAGGGACACTGCATCATTAAAGAGAATCATGAGGGTTTTAGCTTTCTTACATGGGATACCAACTTGGCCATTCATTCATTCATTTGCTGAATCAGCACTTAACTTTGAGCAGCCCTTGGGAATTCCCTGGCGGTCCAGTAGTTAGGACTTCGCGCTTCCTCTGCTGGGGGCCCAGGTTCAGTCCCTGGTCGGGGAACTAAGATCCTGCAAACCACGAGGGGTGGCAAAAAGCAAAACAAAACAAACAAACAAACAAAAACCTTTGAGCAGCTCTCAGCATGCAGCATATACAAAGGAGTAAAAGACCTTGTTTGTGCTTCTGGTTCGGACAACTAGCCGGGAGAGATCCAACTAAAACACAGTGTGGCAGGAACTGGGAGAGAAATGGAGGAGGGCACGTGTGCCAGGGCTTGCCTGGGGGAGTAGCCCTCCCATACCAGCTGGGTTTGCAGTTACTTCCTGGGGGGGGGTCCTGATGACATATCTGCTTTGTGTTCATGTTTCAGCAACCACTTTGGAGCTGAATGTGACAAAGCAAGAAGATGGCCAAGATTAGCACCCAATACTCCCACCCTTCCAGGACTCACCACCTCGTGGTAAGGACCACGGACAGAGATCTCGATAGCATTGAGAACGGCCTCAGCAGGTAGGATGGGCTTTTAACGTCGTGCCTGGAACAGGTTATGTCCATAGCTGATCTAGACCTGGGGGAAAGACCGCCTTAGCCTGTGGCCCAGCGCAGGTCGGCGGGCGGGCCCTGTTCACAGCACCCCTTCTAACTTCATTTTCCGTGCCCCTCGCTCCTCACAACCCACGCTGAGGTAGTTTTTATTCTCATTTTAGAGATGTGGGAGAGTGAGGCTCCAAAAGTTACATAACTCTTGTAACTTTTTTTCTAGAAGGCAAGAAAATGGAGACTCATACACAGCTGATTGAATTCTACTATAAAAATGTCCCCAAACTGCCACACTTTCCCTTGTATACATGAAACATTTATCGGGCTCTGTCTGTGCACCAGCCACTGCCCTGGGCACTGGGGTGGAGTACAGATCAGGTGCACTGTCCCTCACTTCCAGGAGAAGGCCAGGACTCAGCCGTGCTCATGTACCTGGGGGGAGTGGGCCGTGCCTTGCCAGCAAAGCCATCGGCCCCATCAGTGACATCCCGACACAGGCAGCCACATGGAAACCTGGGGCCTTGAGTTCTACTTCTAGCCCTGTTCCTAACTTACTAGTAGACCTGGGAAAACTCACTAACCCCTCCATGCCTCAGTTTCTTCAACTGCAAAATGGAGCAGCATTGGGAAATGGGAAATGGGAGAGTATCTATTTGGTGCAAATGGACTTACATTCTTATGTTTCTTAAATTCTCAGTGAGTTGATTGAGTTGAACAAGAAGAAGCTTTATTTCCAATATTTATGTTATTTTTGTCTCACAAATATAACACTTAAAACCTCCCTCCCATGAAAACTGCATATTATCTGACGGCCAAAAGTGCAATTACAGTCCTCAATCCTCGCATCCCTGGCACTAGGCCCTCCTCCGTCGTTTCTCCTCACTAACTTACACATGTCACTTCCTCTCTCAAATGCACATTTGGTTTTTCCTACGTCTAGGTGCTTTGTCCCAGCTCCTTAGCAACTCAGCTAATAAGTGATAGACCGCGATTTCCCTATCTTTGCAAACTTACGTAGTCTTTGGACCTCCACCTTCTGGGATTCAGGCAAAGGAAGGAAATCTCAAAGCATGGCAACAGATATTCCCTCCAACTCTTTTAAGTTGGTGCTTGGACCCAGGAAATTTGATAGACCCAGGGGCATCAGAAATTCTCACCCTACTCAAATTTCTCCCTCCTAACTGGCCGACTGTCAATACTTGTGTTCCACAACTGAGGACTCCTTCCTTTAGGTTAAGGCATTGCCCTTATTTAAAAGGAAGAGGAACACTATTAGGACAGTTATCTGCTATTAAAACTTTGGTGTGCGTTAATAGTTTCTTTCCCATACCTGAGCTAATAACACCCCCCGAAGAGGGGCTTCAAAGAGGATTGCGGTAGAGGGGAGAAAAGTCCCAAGCTTGGAGCACAGCAGGAAGTCAGGCTCCCTGGGCAGCATCAGGCTCCTGGGATCTTGGGCCCAATGGGAGAAGGAAGAAGCTGTTAGGATCAAGAAGAATTTGAAGCAAATGGAACTTTTCCCCATTGCTCCCTTTTGCCTCGAGCGGGACAAAACCAGAGCATCTCGTGGAGCTTCCAGAGTCCCTGGAGTGTCAGTCTGGCTCCGCCCAGTGAGAAGGCGGGCCTGGCGAGTGGGCTGGGCTCCTGCCCAGAATGCCTGCTTGACCCGACACCACCACGAGCCAGCTCTGCCCGACTCGTCCTGGCTCTGCCTCGGCCGGTGGCCGACAAGCTCCGTCTGGCTTGCGGGCTGTTCAAGAGCCTCTGGTTTCCGAGAGCCTCGCTCTGGGCTCACACTGGGTCCATGCACGCTCCGGGGATAGGTTGTCCACACAGCCAGCGCTCTGAAGTGATCCTCTTGGACAGTACCCTGCCATCTCACGGGTGAGCAAATGCCCTCCCATCCCCCACCCGCATCCCCAGGCCAGCGTGGTGACCAACAGCACAGGCTCGGGGTCAGACTGCCGGGTTTGAAAAGTGTCTTTGAAAAGCTGCTCAACAGCTCCAAGCCTCAGTCTCCTCATCTGCAAAATGGACCAGCACTGACCTCAGGGCGGAAATGAGGGTAAGACAGGGCACCCCTGCCACGCAGTGAATGCTTAGTCGGTGCTCACTGCGGGTCTTGGAGATGCTGCCCCTCCTATGGGCCTTCTCTAGCATCCCAGCTGAAGCCTTCTTCACCTCCTCTGACCTCAGATGGCCCCAGCTGTCCCGACACCTGGAGCGGGCCATTTCCTGCCTGTGCCCACATCAGGCTGTCTCAGCCTGACCACTAGCCGAGTCTCAGTGAGCTCCGCTTGGGGCCGTGCCCAGCTACATACGTGGCAAAAGCTTGTTGACAGATTAGCACAGAATCCCGTGGAAACACTTGAGAGGTTTCAAAAGGAGAGAGAGGAAAAATGCTTCCTTCGTGAGAAGCATTATCTCATGGAGGCAGGAGTGGGTTAACAGACAGAAGTTTCCAGAATGGCTCCTTAGCATCACCAAAGATTGAGAATAGGAGTTCAGGCTGGGGGGAGCAGCCTTGGGCCGGAAGGCTGGGCCCAGAGCCCTCCCCTGCTTCCCAGAGCAGCCCAACATCTGTCAATTCACAGACTAGTTTTCCCTGTAAGATTGATTTCAGCAAAGGACTCTGGCACAGTCACATAAAATTTTTAAAGTTTCAAATCACTATTTGCAGGGAGGAAATGCTGTTTGAACAAATCGTAGATCTTTGCCTTGAAATTCCAATCCTTTTAGAAAACTTTTGGGAGAAATAATTATGAATGTGTGTCCTTAAATATTAATCACTCTTTATCCTCAATGATATCACACAGCTGTGCTGGGAACATATGCATTAGGAACATATGCATTTGCTGAGTGCCCCCCAAAGCGGGGAGTATCATTTCCCCGACCCCTGAGACATCCCGCCTCCCAGGTCCTTCACCAAGTTAGAGACCCAGGTTTCTGTTTCTCTTTTTAAATCACTGGGCCCATTTTCCTAGTGAAGAGTCATAAGGAAGGATGAAAGTGTTTCCTTTGAACAAAAAAATTAAGTTTACACCTTGAAAAGACCAGAAATAAAGATGTCTTTCTTGAATTTTGCTTTTCCTATTTAGATCTGTTTGGGTGACTCAGTTATTTGAGAGCTGGCTGGCATATTTTTGCAGATACTGCAATAGAGAAAGACTTCACAGTCTGCCACAGAGGATTGCAGCTGGGACCGAGGGCACCCCAAACCCCAGATCAGTCTCCTAGTGTAGCTATTTTAGGTGAGCTTTTGGGCATAAGGGGTTGTGTCCTACAGAGAAGGAGACTTCTCTTCATGCTTTACCCTGAACAGAGCCCAAAGCAATTTCCACAAAAGAAAACCATTTTCAACCTGCTTCCCCAGGACCCAAGACAAAAATGCAGTGACTTCAGTTCCCTGGTCACACGTGGCCGGGGCAGTACCTGCCCATCACTCTAGTTCCTCAGGGCTTGAGAGCAGGAAAAGTAAAATAAGGTATCATCTTCTCCACCCTTGTTCCAAAAGGCCACTTCTGTTTCCTCTTATGTCCCCAAAGTCACTGAAAGAAGACACCAGATCCACAGAGCACAAAGTTAATCACCAGTTCCCGTTCTGATGAGAACCTCTGCTCCCTCCCAGTGACGAAGAAGCTTCACCTTGTGGACATTAATTCCTCTGTATAAATAAACTCAGAAGATGAGCTTTACAGGTTGAAAATGACCTTGTCTTTCAAAACAGTCACTTCATTTTGTTTCACCAGTTGCCCTTGATCTTGCTAGTTACTAACTTCACAGGGCTTCTTCCTGCAAAGGCACCATCACCACGGAGAACCGGAGACTGTGGGTAGAAGGCAACTTCATGTTGTCCCGGCCTGGTCTGCTTGTTTTACAGAGACTGAAGCCTGTCGAGTCCTGAGCCAGCTCCGGGCCGGACAGCACCTGGCCCGCACTCTCTCCTGCCTCTGTATTTCCCTGGGAGGTTCTGGATCCCTGATCTTGCACTGATTGCCAGAAGTTTCTCCCTTTTGGCAGTACCTGTGTGTCCTTGGGGACACAAAATATCACCTCAGACATTTGGTTCCTCTCCTCCTAGCCAATCTCCTCTTCCATTTACCTCGTAAAATCAGTTTCTCTGAGGAATAACTAATTGGTTTGCTATTTAAATACCCCCAGGCATTTAACGAGGGTAGAAACTATGGAGCTGGGAGAAAGACAGCAGGGTAGAACTCTGGGCATCAAGAAACAAGTGGGGAGATGCATCAAGAAGAAAAGACCCCTTGGGTCCCTTGAACTTACATCGTATAAGACCCTTCCTATTCTTCACAGCTAAATGTGCCTTTCTGGACTTGGGTGTTTGACCAATACTTAAATCAATATGAAATCAATTTTTCCTTCGTTTTCTTTTCGAAGACCAGGAAAATTAAACTCAGGGAGGGTAAGTGACCAGCCCACAGTGCACTTAGTTAATAGGTGCTGGGTTAGGGGTTCGAACACAGGCCTCCGGGCTCCCCACTACGCCACCTCCCCTTCATGTAGGTGTCAAAGGTCCAGGCCACTTGCAGTAGCTCTCACTGCTGCCAGCTGCAGGCCTGCTTTGAAATCTGGGGTGAGTTCTGCCCTTCTCACCCACCCACAAGCCCTGATGTCATGGGCATTGAGTCCTTTGCTGCTAATGCAAATAAATCTGGTCTCAGGATGTACCCCCCCCATCCCCCCACAATGAACAGAATCCAGACCAGGCAGAAATGCTGGGCCGCCTGCTCGATGCCTAGAGCTCCCTGAGGAGGGAGCTGCTCGTGGGGACAGAACACCTCGTCCTGGGATTGCCTCTAGATCTTCCAGGCACACATTCTGTGGCAGAGCTAGAGCCCAGCTGTTAGTTGCTGCCCGCACCCCAACTCCCCACCCCCAAGCATGCCAGCTGCTAGGATCCAGGCACTGGAGAGATGGACTCACTTGTCCCCCTGCCGCCTCCTCCTCCTGTAACTGACCCGGGTGCCTTGCAACATGCATTCCCACCTTTGCGGTACGCAGAATATTAGAAGCTCAAGGGTATTGTAGCTTCCTAACTGCAGCAGGGCTTCTGGTAGGGTCTCTCATATGTATAAGGATGAGGTGTGAGTGGTCTCTTATGAGTATAGAGAATTCAGTTAGGCGATTTGGAAATAAAAAAGCCATGCCCACATTTGTGCAGCCAGGGGAATCAGAGCCATGTCTCTAGTGGCATGCCACAGGGCTCAGCTCTCAGCCGTGTCCTATTCAACTTTTGCTTTAATCAGTGCCATATATGAAAATACAGAAGGCAGATTCATGGAGTAGGTGAGAGCAGGCTTTGAAAGGAGATGGAATGGCATACAAATCTCAGCTTTGCCACTTGGCTGTGTGACCTTGGGGAAGTTACTTAACCTCTCTGAACCTCAGTTTCCTCTCATACAGTTTTTATGTGGATTAAGTGATCAAATGTATGTGGCTGACATACAGCAAGCAGTCAATAAATGGTGTATACTTCGGGTATCACATCTGTGAATGAGACGGAGTTGGGAGGACCCTGCATACCAAGCGTGCCAGAACATCAAGTGACTCAGATAAATGGGAGAGTCCAATACTTATTTCCAACAAATCAATTGTACATGCATAAGACAAGGCCTTCTGGCTTAGCAGCAGCACATGTTATAAGACATTGGGTTTTGGATGATGGTAGCTGGTGATGGGGCACCAAAAGCATGTCTTGGGCTCCAGTAACAGCAGGGTGGTTCTCAGTCTCTGTGCCCAGTCAGGCAAGAATACAGGAACCTGCTCACAGGAGAATGACCGTGACAGGGAAGAGACTTGAACCTGATGAGGAAAGGCTGGGTGAGCTGATGCGTCTAGCTTGGAAAAGCGAGGCAGCACAGGTGTGAGAGCTGTCCCTTCATGGAAGGCGGTCTTTTAGAAGATGAAGTTGCCTGACTCCACGTGGTTCCAGCAAAAAAACCCACAAAAACGTGTATCCTCGATATGGGGAAGCTGAGGGAGAGAAGAACCTGCCGGCAATCAGGGCTGTGCAGAGAAGACCTGGAGGAGCCATGGAATGGTAGTGAGCTCCCCGTGCTGGAGACGGCAGGGAGGTTGCAGAAAGGAAGAGGCAGCGGCTTGGCGGCTGAGATACGGGATTCTGACTTCGAATCACTCACTGGGGAGAGATAGAGCCTTTGCCCTGACATTAATTCTTGCTTCTTCAACCGTGTTGCCACCTTGTTAAGAAGGCTGATTAGGCTGGAATAGGTCATGTGATCGAATTAATTTGTCTTGCCTGGGCTCTCCAAGACTCATAGAATGAAGTGCAAATCCCTGGAGGCCGATGCCTGGATGGCTTTTAATCAGGCTGATCAAACTTCAGCCCTAGGAAGTTTTAAAAGGAAGGGAAAAAAGGAAAATTACACCCCAGCAGAGAGGTCTTATTCCAGGAAGTTCAACAAACACGAGGCTCTGCCGATGCTCAGACTGAGCTGTGGACACCTGTCCTGTGGGTGCTGTTGCTTTTCGCCCTGAATTGCACAGGTGAGGTCCCCGCCCCCCTTCTCTCCGCGTTACAGGGGACACGGGTTAGGGCTTGGCAAAAGGGCACAGCAGAAATGGATTTTCATGTGAAAGCACTACACAAATGCACGTGGAGGGCTAGGCCAATTCCTTACAGTATCGCCGGACCCTCCTCTTAACCAGTGGGCTCCCGCAGTACCCACACACTACGACAGAGGGCGAGGGAAGACCTCTTGAAGGAGGCGGCACTTGATCCGACTTTAGGAGATGGGATTTCAGTATGCAGAGATGTGTGTGAACCAAAATCCTTGTTCTGGAATCCTTGCATGGAAACAGCTGCTGTGGCTCCAGATGCAGGTCCGGGACCTCCCCCCCATCACCCCGCCCCCAGTGCTCTAATAAGGACCATTTGCTGCTGGCTTGCCCTTTTCACCTGGGCTATGGGCAGTAGCCTCCTTGTCATAAAGGAAAAGCCACTTTCTCCTGAAAGCCAGGACCTGCTGGCTGCTGCTGGAGTATGAACTGAAGTGGGGAGCTCTGGGGTGAGGATCTGTGACAGTAGCTTTCTTCTTTAAGCAGGGCATCTGGCCATCTCAGTCCTCAACGTGTCCAGGAGGTTGGAAATCAATGTCAAGGATGAGCTTGAAATCAATTTTGCTTGCTGCATATTTGATTTCCTAGGACCCACTTGCCATGTGAGGAGACACCGTCAGAACTGCAAGAAGGCATCACCATGGAGACCAGAGGACTGGCTGAATCCAAGCGAAGCTCCTTCACCAGCCAGGGGCCCGCCAGGTAACCGACCGGTCTCAGCCCTCACCTTGGGAAAGGGCAGACGGAGGCAGAAAGAAGGTAGATAAGTCTCAGGAAGAAATGGTGGTTGAGGGTAGGGTTGCAGATTTGGAGAATAAAGGGGCAGGAGAAGCGGAGTCAGAAATCTATCAGGGAGTCATTTCCTCTTGGGTCAGGTGTTCCGAGCTCAGAAAAGTCTAAGAAAAACTGCCTCGATCTGAAATTGCTCTCATAAAAAGTGATATTGAGGTACTTGCTCAATTCTGGAAGAATTCAAGAAAAAAAAAGCCAACCAGAGAAGTTTCAGAAAAGAATTCAGAAGAAAGATCAGCCAGCCGTGGGAGACCGTTGGGTGGATCACGGTGGCACACAGAGGGCAATCGTGGCTCTGTCGGAAATAGCCCCTGGCAGGTCCTCACTCGTATGGGTCTAGACTTCATAGCTTACGTCCTCGCAAAAGTATTTGAAAGATTAACTAGGCTCCGAGCTCTGTCTCCCTTCTGATGACATCTGTCCTCCGGCTTCAGTAGCTGTACCACCTGGAGGAAGTCATTTCACCTTTCACGTCTCATCTAAAGATGCATCTAGTAACATGAGGGCTGCGGCAGAGCCCGCTCCTGCCCCACGACGGGCGCTCAACAAATGTTGGGCTCATTATTTCCTTCCACTGATATATATTGTTTTTTTACCAAAGCCAGAGTTTCATACAGTCACGTGTTCTACAGGTTTTGCTTAAGAGTATTGCAAAAAAATTAATTTATCGAGTTATTCTTCATGTTTTTCATTGTGGAGGATTATTTATTTCACTAGCCACTTACAGCTGGGCATTTAAGTGATTTCCAGTGTTTTTTGTCTTACTAATAAAATATCTTGCTAATAAAAGGCCTGTTGATCGTAAGTTAGAGAACACCTTCAACTAGCTCAAATGAAAAGGGTAGGGCTGGGGCAGGGGCTGGTGTAAGCTAAGATCCAGGCCACCTTGTGGAAACGGAGCCAGTGGGGCTCATAAGGGGCCATGGGGAAGCAGCTGCCTTCCCTCTCTCGTTTCTCTAGCAACATTTCATGATCTGTGTGCTTTTTGCCTGCGTGCCTCCTACGTTTCTGGCTTTCTCGGCTCACACCTCAGCAGGCACAGGCTGAACACAGCCTTCACCATATGATCCTGAGTCGAAACACCCAACCCCATCTTGGAGTGGTTTTTAGTTCCGAGGCTTGAGTGACTCTGTGGGTCAGTCGTCCATCCCCGAGCCTGTTGGCTGAGGCTGGAGCTCCGGGGAGTATGACCTTGCTTCTCTCCCTCAGCAGAGGGAGGACGTGGGTGTGGGGAGTGTCAGAGCGGAGAGGTTGGGCTGGGCAGGCACCTTGCCATTCATCTGCAGTGGCCGCTGTGAGCATCTCTGTGCGTGGCATGTTGCCTCACTTCAACTTATTCCCTTAGGCTATGGTCACAAGTGTGTGATGGGGATCAAGGTATGTGACAATTCATGACTCCATGCCAGGTTGCTCAGAACTGATTTCTTGGGGACAGTGGCGTGCACAGTGGGTGCCCAGGCAGGAAAGCTGAACTCCAAGAAATAGTTGAGTCTGTCTTTCCGTTCCCCCCTGGCCAAGACGGGGAAGCAAGAGGCAGGGCTGAGGGAAGCTTTTTTACAGAAAACTGAAGCTAAGATGAGCTCTGGGCGTGGACTGCCTGGTCTCAGGTGCTTGCGGCCCGGGTGGCGTCCGCTCCAGGAGAGAGATCAGGGCACATTGCACAGGAACTTCTGCACAGGGCTGGGGAGAAAACAAGAGTTTGTATGAAGAGCGATTCATAGGACGAGGGTTGGGGAAAGAACCTAGGTTGTATCTGGGTGCTTGTTCCTTTATACCTTGCTCTGAATTTTATCACTATTCGGAAATTGTATTTTTTACTGTGCCTATGCTTACCAGTCGTAACAAAGAGCTCTACATGGGGCAGAAGGAAAGATGAGCAGAAAAGCTTGCTAAATGGCCCATTGGCAGGATCGTGCCTTTGATGGAGTCCAGGTGTTAAAGGGACAAAGCCATAATGAAGAAATGTCCCTTATGGAGGAAGCTCCGTCCCAGGTGGCAGAGGTGGAGGGAAGAAAAGGCTCTGGCGAGTGGGGGCAGGGGGTGGCGTGCAAACCTGAGACCGGCCCTGGGACCCACATCCTGCCGGCATCTCTGCCCCTGCCCCAGCCCTCTGGGAGGGGGCTTCCGTCTCCTTCCGCACCGGCCTCGCTGCGGGTCTGTGCCCTTCCAGGTTGTCACGCCTCATCACCTCGCTGCGTGCCTGGGCCGCCAGTCACTTACGCCACGAGGACCAGAGGCCTGACTCTTTCCTGGAGCGTTTCCACGGAGCCGAGCTTAAGGAGGTGTCTAGCCGCGAAAGCCATGTCCAGAACAACGCGGGCAGCCAGGAGCCGCCAGACAGAGGGAGAAGGTAAGGGAGGCAGGGCTGCCTGCCCCAAACGGGGAGGGAAGCACCTGCTGCCCCCTCCGTGCAGCGTGGATACCCGCCGCCCCCCGGGTGGCCGGGAGCACCAGTCCCTCAGCTGTTCCCTGAAGAAGGGGTCTGTCCTGGGGGAACACTCATGCTCTAGGAGTCTCCACACGAGCCCAAGAAGCCCTGCGGGAGCGGAAACCCTTTAACCAGAGGCCCCGGCCTCATGGGCAGCTGACCCTGTCCTCCGCGGAGCTCCCGCTAGCGCCCCCTGGAGTTGGTGCTCTCGGAACCGCACCCGGGACGTTAGCCTCACCAATCTCTCCGTTAAAGGACCCTCATCCTACTCACCTTGCACTGTGACCCACCTTGCTAAAAAACTGGGGCTTTTGTACCACGAACCTCAGGGAGTACCTAGATGGTACCCACAATTTTATGGATGGGTATACGTACATTCTTCTGGGGAAAAGGTCCAAAGGTTGGTTAGAACTTTGAAGGGGAACCATCCTCGCCCCAGGTTGGTTTAAGAACCGTGGGGAGCACAGTAGGTGGGAGTAGGGTGGGGGATGAGGAAAGTGTCTGCTTTCTAGTAGGATAAGGGTCTGCAGAACAAGGGCTCTGAGCACCTTGCACGGCCCCCTGCCCAGTGGGGAGCTTGTGGCTGGTGTTGTCTGGTGCCTGCAAGTAGAGAAATCTGCAGGGGCTGGACTGACACCCCCCAACACCCCTGCCCCCCCCGCACAGAGCTGCTGCCTCCCCTCCCCCTCTTCTCGTGTTCTTGAGAAGTCACCCCAGCCTCTGGTGGGCGGGGAGACCACTGGGCGACCGTGGGTTGAATCCATTGTCGCTGAACAGCAGAGGGTCTCTTTAGGACCCTTGGGGCAGTTGGGGGAGAAGAGGTAACACGTTCAGGGGAAGCAGACCTCCTCTCAGCCTCACAAACAGGAGGACACTTGCTCAGAACCTGTTTTAAGGAAAAAGGGGCTTGAAAAAGATCTTTTGGCTGAATTCTCTAGGTTATGCCAGGGTTTAGAAGACGTAAAGTGTGAAAAAAGAAGCATGATTGTTGCAGAACAGACAGTCCCTGTATAATTTGCTAGAGAAAATGCTGTCTGTTTTGGAGTCAAAGGAACAGAAGGGCTCGGTTGCGGGCCCCTCGAAAAGGCAAAGAAAGCCCCTGGGGAGTAAAGGCCATGAAGCCTCAGGGGAAACAGATGAATTTTTTTGGAGCTTTGATTTTATTTCCAGATTTGGGGCAGGGGGTTATGTTTATTACAGGTTATGCAGTCCATTGCAAAATGTGCAAGATGTACAAGCGTATTTAAGATAAATTATGAGAGTTCAAAGAGATGTCTTGCCAGAGACATTAGGAGACGTACATTAGTCTTCTCTGCTGGGGAAAGGTGTGAGAATCTCTGGCTGAGAGCCGGAGGCCCAGTGGAGCAGCGTTCTCAGGCTCCCTTTTCCCATGAGCTTGGACTATAAACCCTCGGGCTCCCTGGGCTGTGGGAAGGGGACCGTGGAGGGCCTGGGTGCTGGCTGGATGTGTGCAGGGCCATCCCAGGTTCCCAGGGCCGGGCATCCCAGGCTGTGAGGGAGCACCAGGACCATGAGGCCCACATGCTGTTCGCTACTGAGCCAGAAAGACAGGACGGCTGGCAGCTAAGGACGAAGGGAGGGTGGAGGAGGAGGAAAGAGTCGGGGAGGAAAGGAGGTTTGCTAGCAAGCCAGCCAGGCTGGTTCAGTTCCTTTTAGGCAAGCAAAGACTTCCTTGGCTTAATTGATCAAACTTCTTCTCCACAACTTTAGACTCATGGAGATGAACATTAGACTCTGCCCATTTCCCTATGTGACCAGATTAACGGAGGGTTGACCCCATCAGAACCAAGCCCCAACTATGCCACCAATGCCTGGTCACTTGCTGGAAGGTTCAGAGTGGGCAGGTGAACGCATAGGTGCAGGATGGGAGCAGATCAATCAGGGAGGCTTCCTGGGGGAAGAAGACTTTGAATTTTCAAGGCCAAGTCCCATCAGCAAAGCAAAGTGTATGCAGAGGTGGGTCTTAGTTTTCCTGTGGGTTTGGCCCGATGAGATTATGGCAGATCATGGTGCAGCTCACGGGCAACTGCACCCCAGAGAGCTAAACTTTCCTCTATAATCTCCCAGTTTTGATTCCCCAGGGGAATTTTAGATGATCTGAACCAATCCTGAAACAAGCAGTTAGAGCCACATCCTGGATGGGGAGAGGGAGGCTTGGGAGGGATGAGCAGAAGTACCAAAAAGGCATTTGGCTGGATGTTCAACATCATAGAACAGGTGCCCTGAGAGTCAGGCTGGAGTGTCACCAGCGCCTGGCTCTGGGCCCTGGGGTCTCCTGTCCTGTGAATGGTCTGCAGTCACCACAGACAGGCAAGCTGCCCTCTAGCCCTGTGAGGCCAGGCTGGCTTTCTAAAACCAGCTGTCAAAGATGCGAACTGGCAGGTGAGCTCAGGGAGATCACGCCTTTTCCTAAAGAACATCACCAAGTACTGCCCAATCCAGCTTTCAGTAAACATGCTTGGTTGTGAAACCAGCCCTTACCTTCTACCAGATTCTCACATAGATCTGGGATGGCAGGCCCTGGAGTTCTAAGATGAATGTGGGGCAGGGGAAGGGGGAGGATGGGCTGAAACCTGGGGCAGCTCTGCCCAGAGTCCTTTTTTTTTTTTTTAATTAATTAATTAATTTATTTTTGGCTGTGTTGGGTCTTCGTTGCTGCGCGTGGGCTTTCTCTAGTTGCGGCAAGCGGGGGCCACTCTTAATCGCGGTGCGCGGGCCTCTCACTATTGGAGCCTCTCTTGTTGCGGAGCGCAAGCTCCAGACGCGCAGGCTCAGTAGTTGTGGCTCACGGGCCTAGTTGCTCTGCGGCATGTGGGATCTTCCCAGACTAAGGCTTGAACCCGTGTCCCCTGCATTGGCAGGCAGATTCCCAACCACTGCGCCACCAGGGAAACCCAAGAGTCCATTTTTTGTCCTGAGAACTGGAAGCGGGCCCTGTGATGGGGTTTCCAAGGGAAGGGCCCTGTGACAGCCATGTCTCTGCAGAGGGGGCAGCAAGTTGCTGCTGCTGCTAACGATGTCCATTCTGGTCCAAGGAGCTTGGCCTGTTCACCCAGGAGCACCCAAGGGCAGGCGCCATGCCGGGTGGTCTCTGTGCTCCCCCCCTCCATAGTGCCTGGCCCACTGCCTGGCACATGCTAAAACTGGAGGACATTGAGAGGAATCGAGGCTAGGATGCTGGATGGGATTCAAAGAGTTAATCCTCAGTTATTCAGAAGCCTCAATTTACCCAGGTGTTCATCCTCTCCCGTTCACCAACACTAGTCACGAAACAATGTCTGTCCCTGACAATAACAATTCCCTCTGTTCAAGCTGTGTGGAAAGGCCCGTGAGACAGGGGATGGGAGTCCCAGAATAACTGCCTGGGGGCAAGGGGTCCCCAGCAATTGGACTTGATTTCAGATTCCCATGCTGTGCTCTCTTTACCTCCCCTCAGTGACTGGCCCCTGGCCAGAAGCAACACCAATGCCTGCAACAACTCAGAGAAGGAGTGAGTACCTCTGCCCCCTCCCACTCCCTGCGGCCAACCCCCTCCCTGTAGACACCCCAGCTTTGTACTGCTACCTCCCCCAAACCCCACCAGACCATTCTAGGGTCCTGCTCCTTCCATTGGAAACCCATCCCTGTGGACAAATGGGGAGAGGGACCTGGTCTGTGTGACTTCTTTGGGCAGGTCCTTTTATCTCTGTGTCTCTCATTGTTCTCATCTAGAAAGCGAAGGGGTTGGCTCGGTAAACATTTTCAGTGCTAACACCTCTGTTGCTATGTATCTGAAGGTGCAAAGCTGGAGTCCCTTTACAGAGCAGTGGATAAATCTCCTTCATGATGAGAATGCACTTTCCATTCTACATCCTCAGGCTCCTTTGTGCCGGTGAAGTGCCCTTGTCTTCAAGCCAATTCAGGCCAATTTGGAGGGCATGATCGGGACAGTGGAAAGAGGAGATTTAAATAGTTCCAGAGATTAGCCTCTTGAAACCGTGACCCACCGTAATTCCTTCCTGCCACCCGATGCTGAGCGGGCAGAGCGGTTTGATGTGTGACTCTGGCAACATCACCCAAGAGCCCAAGCAGACAGTGTGCGTATGTGTGTGACCGTGTTTGTGTGTGAACACGTGTGTGTGTGTATGTGTGTGTCCCGCTCTCCAGCCTTCCTTTTTAGAACACCGTGGAGGTAGGAGCGGGGGGGGGGTCTCAGCTGGAGCTTAGGGGAAAACCATCCGTGTCAGCCAAGAAATGCCAATTCCTTGACTTCCAGCCGACTGAGAACTGTGCCGAGGCTTTTTCTTGTTATTTTCCTTTGTTCTTCTGATAGAACTCCTTTCCATTTCCCCTCCGTGAACCTTAGTTGCATTTGGGGGCTTTTTTGTTTGTTTTTTAAATGTATTTTTTAAATTGAAGTGAGTTTACAATGTTGTGTTAGTTTCTGGAATACAGCAAAGTGATTCAGTTACACATACGTATATTCTTTTTCAGATTCTTTTCCATTGTGGTTTATCACAGGATATTGAATATAGTTCCCTGTGCTCTACAGTAGGACCTTGTTGTTTATCCATCCTATATATAATAGTTTGCATCTGCTAATCCCAAACTCCCAGTTGATCCCTGCCCCATCCTCTCCCCCTTAGTTGCATTTTGTTTACATAAATTGGGACATGAAATCCAGAGACTCAAATGCCAACAGTCAAGAAAAATGAAATGATTTAATCTGCAAAATGATAGCTACTGTGATATGTGTTTGATGCCCTTGGAAACCTGGTGTTGAGTCCCGCAGTCAGGCAAAGGCTCAGGGCACCAGAAACCATAGGTAGAGGTCTTGTGGGTGGGTCTCCAGGCTTCTCCATCCTGGGGCTGGGATGTGGGCAAGGATGGTGTGGATGCCGTCAGCTACATCAGGCTCTTATAAATCTTTTCAGATGGGCTCGTATCGTGGGTCCACACTGCAGCCAAGGACCGAAGGACCAAATTGGGGGCTGCCCCCAAATGGAGCCACCTGGGTACAAAGATACAGAAGTAATTCTTATGGACACCTTCCCCCATTCTTCCACCACATTTCTAGCATTTTCACTTAGTCCCATGGGTTCTGAAAGTTTCTTTCTCCCGATCAATCTGTTCTCAGCCAAAACCAGCCTCGTTTTGTAGCTCTGTGTAGGTCCCCTGGGGCAGTGCTGGGTGGATTCCGGGACACAGCTGGATGGCACGGGGTCTTCCCTAGGCCCTCAGCAGGTTGGTAGCCAGAGGAAAGTCCAAAGCTTGTAACCCGGGGCCACAAATCCTGAACAAGGGTGGCAGAGCCTGGTGTAATTAAACTCCCAGCAGGGCTAAGTGTGCCCGATAAGCTTGTGGGCAGCGCCCTCTGCTGGTGACTTGACATTAAGACTTCAGCTGCAGAAAAACCAGTAGCTTCAAGAGAACAGAGGATGGGTGAGTGTCCTTGCTCTTCTCATTTAAAGATTCTAACAACTTTTGTTCTTAGTTTATTAATATGCTCATTGTCAAAAACTTAGAAAACACAGAAAAGCACCCACGAGCATACACCCATAAAAAAGTACACTTTACGTTAGCAGTTGAACCCCATTATCAGAGACAACCCCTCTTCACATGTTGGCAAATATCCCTCCAAGTTTTCTCTAGGCATATATATTGAATAGATAGATACGTGGATACATAGATACACAGATACATAGACAGATGCAATATGTTTAATATATGTACTGGTTAAGTGCATTTGCATCCCAACTCAACCACCTAAGAGCTTTGTGACCTTGAGCAAGTTACCTGACCTCTCTGTGCCTCAGTTTCCGGACTTGTGAAATAGGGATTGTAACTGGCGTCTTACAGAGTTGTGTTAAGACTGTTCTAATACATGTGAAGTGCCGAGTACATAGTAAATGATCAATCAACATTGACTACTGTGGGAAGCAGAGTAATTTCACTACCACAACCTCACCAAAAGTGTTTCCATCCTAACCCCTGGAACCTGCGAGTAGATTATTTTACATGACAAAGGAGACTTTGCAAATGTGATTGAATTTAAGGACCTGCAGATGGAGAGATTATTCTGGATTATCCAGGTGGGCCCAATGTAATCACATGAGTTCTTAAAAGCAGAAGCGGGAGGTAGGAGAGTGAGTCAGAGATATGAGATGGAAGGAGGAGAGATTCGCAGTGTGAGCGGGACCGTCCTGTCATTGCTGGCTTTGAAGATGGAGGAAGCGGGGAGGGAGGCCTGAGCCACGGATGCAGCAGCCTCCAAAAGCCAGGGATAGCCCTCCACCTACAGCCAGCAGGAGAACAGGAACCTTGGTCCTGAGCTTCAAGGAGCTGGATTCTACCTGCAATCCCGGTGAGCAGGAAACAGATTCTCTCCAGAGCCTCCAAAAAGGAACACAGCCTGAGGGCACCTTGATTTTCATCCAGTCAGATTATACGACTTCTTCCAATCTCCAGAACTGTAAGAGAATGAATTTGGGTTGTTCTAAGATACTACACTTGTGGTAATTTGTTATGGCAACAGTAGAAAATCAATAACACAGCTTTCGATCCCAGAAGTGGAGTGCTGCTGTAACAAATACCTAAAATGTGGAAGTGGCTTCAGAATTGACCCTAGGTAGGATCTAGAAGAATTTTAAGGAGCATGTTTTTGTTAAAAAAAGCCTAGATTGCTTTGAACAGGTTGTTAAAAGAAATATGAATGTTAAAGACTCTACCAGTAGCACAGGGAGATCAGCTCGATGCCTTGTGACGACCTAGAGGGGTGGAATAGGGAGGGTGGGAGGGAGGGGATATGGGGATATATATATATATATATATATATATATATATATATATATATAGCTGATTCACTTTGTTGTACAGCAGAAACTAACACACCATTGTAAAGCAATTCTACTCCAATAAAGATATAAAAAAGTGGGGAACAATCATCAGAAAAAAAACTATAGCAGTGAGGGTTCAGAAGGAAAAATGGGGAGCATTCCAGAGAAAAACCTAAGCTGCCTACGTACTTAATACCTAAATGGTCGAAACAGACTATTAGTAGAAACCTGGACTTTAGGGGTGCTGCTGGTGAGGGCTCATAAGGACGTGAGGAGCAGGCTTTTAGAACCTGAAGGAAAGGGGATTCATGTTGTTTAGTGGCAAAAAGCTGAGCGGGATTATGTCCCACAAGTATGGGGGAAGCAGAATTCGTATGCAATGAGCTTGAATATTTAGCTGAGGACATTTCTAAGCTAAGGTACTGAGGGTGCAGCCTGGTTTATTCTTGCTGTTGATGGTAAAACTTAAGAAAGAAATTGAGGGAAGAACTGATAAATGAAAAGGAAACAAGACTTGATGACTTGGGAAGTTCTCAGCCTGCTCAGATGGCAAAAGAGAATAAGTTTTAAAAAGTCACTGTCAGGAAAGCATGCCTTCAGGAAAAAGCCGAGGATGCGGCTGAACTTTTGCTAATAACTCGAAGATCAAAAGCTCTGAGTATTCAGTCACATAAAAGACCCTCTGAAGAGACCGAGGGTGTGAACCACGGCTCATCTCAACAGAAGCCAAAAATAGAGAAGAGATTTCTCAGAAAGATCTGTGGATGAGCCTCTGTCTAGTGGAGTGGATCCCTCTGGTATACATGACCCATTAAGGTCTAGAAGATTTTATGGCAGCAGAAACGCTGCCAGCTTGGAGCTGAAGGATAGAAACAGTATCCTGTTCTGTGGTTGAATTCTGTGGTTGAAGAATTTCCTCTGTTGTATGATCAGATTGTTTGTGCTGTGACTTAGAAATAATGGTGGTGATGATTCTTCTGTATGCATGTTTGCACACACCTTTGATTATTTCCTGGGGAAGTGCTGTGTAAAGTGCATTGGTCCTTTTCAACGAGTGTTTAATTAGCAGACACTTATTTCTCAGCCCTTCCTTCCTCCAGGGGAAGGAACAGGGGAATCAGAAGGGCCTGCGGGTGATTCCGGGGGTGCCCTGAGGCAGGCAGGGTCTTTTACCCTCCACCTTTGTTTCCTCGGCTGTTCAGTGGGCAATAATGTGTGCCTTGCAGGACTACTCTAACCGTTAATAGGTAACCCTTGTAACTGTGTCCGGCCCATGAAGGACGTGCAATAAAGAAGGGGAAGCAGAGTAAAGCTGTGCGTTGAGGAAACATCTGCCCTTACAGGCCCTTCCTGCCGATGCAGACAGGAGGGCGAGGCCCCACCTGCAACGCCACATCCAGCAAAGTCTGGAAGCGTCTGAGCGTGGCTGCATTTGCCTCAGACGACTTGAAGACTTGCTGCTGCCCAGCACACCTGTGCCTGCCTAAGGGTCTTGCTTCCTTTCTGTCCCCTGGCTTTCCCATCAAGGGCCAGGTTTTCATGTGACCCCAGAACAACGGAAAAGCCACCCCCTTTCCTCAGAACAAAGAGCGTTCCATGTGACTCCCAAAACTCTGAGTGGCTTTTCCACCCTAAAGGTGTGGATTTGGGTTTATTTCCCATTACCTCAAAAGTTTCCAGTCTCAAGCTGCTTGTGACTTTCTAGGGACTCACGGAAATAGGTCAGAAATTGTAGAATATTAGACTGAACCACTGTGTACATTTCAATGTATACAATGGATACTTCAGTGGAGGTGGTACCCTCCCCCTTCAGGAATAATAATAATGATATTATTCATGAAATCAACAACCTCATTTCATCCCAGTGTGCTAGAAAGATTGGTTTCCTGCACCACGCCCTCTCCCCCGTGTCACTGTGGCCTACCCTCTCCCCGTGGTAATGACCTTGGTATATGAAAATTGCTAAATGTCACCCTGTGTCATCCAGTGACAAGGCGAAAAAGGAGAAAGAAAAAAAGGAAGAGAAAAAGGAAAACCCAAAAAAGGAGGAGTAAGTACTGAGAGAAACTGCCCCCAAAGAGGGGGTTTCATCGTCACAGCAGGCCTGGTTCCACACCACCCGGCCCTGGCCCTGGCCCTGGGGAGGAGAGAGACGCAGTCAGGCCTTAGGGTCAGCCCTGGAGAGAGGGCTGCTTAGGGCTACAGAAAAGGAGTTGGTCTCAGGCAGGGATCAGGCCTGCTGAGATCACGTGAGGGTCTCGTTCTGCAGGGAAAGTCGGGGAGCCCAAAGGGGGGCTTGTAGGTAGGCAGGTTTGCCTACAGCCTCAGGTGAGCAGTTCGGGGCTTCCCTGGGAGCCTGCTCCGGTGCCCTCCCCTTGGGCATTCTGTTTGCCCACGAGGTGGCCGTCCACACAGTGGAGTACGCGGAGCCCTTTTCCTGGGTACTAGAAAACACTATATTCACAAACTTTAATCCAAGCCCAGTGCCAACGAGCGTTGGGCACGTCCAAAGCCCAGCCAATCAGCAGCTGACCTCGGACTTGCTGAGTTGAGGTGAAAACAGGCAACTCAGGGTCTCCTCTGGGGCACGGGAGCAGCTCTGCAGGCCTAGGCGGGCATGGGGGGCAGATGGGGTGGGGGAGGAGACGCGTGGACCCAAAGAAAGATCTCCAGTACCGCCTATAAATTCCAATCCTCCGAAAATCCTGAAAATAAACACCGAAAGCACCCTAAGCTATTTCTTCCATTCAGTGTTGGCTGACATACCTCGATGGTTCCCAGGCTGGTGGTTTTGGCGGAGAGGCAGGAAATGTCTTTAGAACATCTGCACGATTGCAGTTAGTGAGGTGGAGAGAGCACATTCCCAAGGGAGAGCTCTGGGCTCCCAAGCTCCCAAGTTCAGTCCAGAGAGGAGCTGTCTCAGAACCACCCAGGACAGTGATTAAATGCACATTTCCAGACCCCAGTCCTGGAGGGGTCTGGCTGGGCCTGGGAGTCGGCATTTTCACAGAGCTCCCCGAGACGGTTCCAACATCACTGTGCTCCATTTTCCTTCTCGGCACCCTGAAGGCTATGGATGATACCCCAGGACATGGGAATGTCATCGCTGTAGTTTTGTAGTCACCGGTGGCTTCCCGGGGTGCCGAGCTGGGAGAAGGCCTTCGGAGTCTGCCCTGCTCCCAGCCTGGGTGGGGGCACCCATATAGGGACACCCATGTGACCCCCCTGGGACTGACAGCACCCTATCTGGGAAGCCATCTCTAGCTGAAGCCCGCAGTTGCCCTGGGGTCTCTAAGCTAGGCCGGGTCTCTATGCCTTTCCAAAGCTGTGGTCTTCTAACGCACTGCGCTGCTTGTGTGTCGGTGTTTCCAGAAAGAAGAAGGACACCACCGTGGTGGACCCCTCCAACAACATGTACTATCACTGGCTGACCATCATCGCCGTGCCCATCTTCTACAACTGGTGTCTGCTCGTTTGCAGGTAGGGGCGTGGGGCGGGGCCTCAACACAGAGCTCTGAGTCCCTGGCAGCCACCACCCAGCTGCATGTGCCTCAGTTCCTCCTGGGTTCCCTGAAGCGCTGGTGGAGGCCTGGCTTTGAGATCAAAACCATGGTCCTGGCACCTTGGAGCCTCCTTGACGGAGTCGCAGGAGGAAGATGCAAGGGCGAGCCGTTGCTCTTCTGAGGGGAAGTGGGAGGGGCTGGGTCACTCCTGAGCTGACCTGCAGGACAGGGATGCAGGCGCCAGGCGAAGTTCTCAGGCTGTCGGCTGTGGGCCTTGGGTTTTCTGAGCCGGTTGGGATGCAGGGTGAGCTGCTGCTCTTGTGAGGGCGGCCGGGGCCTCGGGGTGCTCCCAAACTGCTAATTTGTGGGGATGGATATGGCTTGTTCTGTTGTCAATCTCTCAGAAATTGTTATATCTTTGTTGGCATTTAAAATGGCCCCAGAAAGGGCAAGTTCTCAGCCCCTTCGTCTGAGGCCTGGATAAACTGCTCCCCGGCCAGGGGAGGGGAGCAGTCTTGTCGCTACTGCTGCAAGGCAATGGGGCCCACTCTTTGGGGTCAGTCCCAGCTCTTCTTAGGAGCTCGGTGACCTTGAGACAGAAAAGCTTCTGAGAGCCTGGGTCCCCTCATCGGGGCTGGGACGCTGATGCTGGGGTGCAACCCTGTGGGCTGGGCTGTTAGCGGGATGAGCTGACCCCAGGTTTGTAGCACAGAGCTGCTACCCGCCTTGCTCCCTCCCCCCTACACACCTGCCCCTTCTCACACTTGTTTAGGGCCTGTTTTGATGAGCTTCAGTCTGAGCACCTGATGCTTTGGCTGGTCCTGGACTGCTCAGCCGACTTCCTCTATGGCTTCGATGTGCTAGTCCGAGCCCGGACAGGTGAGTGGGCCCAGGCCCGCAGACCCCACAGCGTGATTCGGGGGCCACCTGGGGGCTACGGGGCAGGTCCAGGGAGATCCAGAATGGTAGCCCTTGGAGTTCCTCTTCTCAGGCAGTGAGAGGAGCCAGGGCATGTTACCCCATGGCTTTTAGAGGAGGTGTAATATACTACATGTATATAAGTTTCAGAACTAAAACCTAAAACAGGGCCTAGAGGGATATGACTTCCTTCAGATTAAGACAGGCTGGGACCTGGGACCCTCTACCAGAGTGCTTGCACTTGCCGCTAGACAAACATCTCCTCTAGCGACAGGACACAAAGAATCTGTAAAGGACTAAAAATAACTACGTGCATGTGCAGACCACCTAAGCCCCCCTCCAGCCCAACCCACCAATCCACCCCCATATCCTTTAAGGGACAAGCTCGCCCCCACCCCTCAGGGAGCAAGCAAGGCCACCTGTTACTGTTTTCGCTCCCTTGTGCTGCAGCATGAGTCCCAATAAAGGCCTGAATTCCTCATCTGGACTCTTATCAGTTTCTGTTGATTAAAGAGTCCAAGGACACCAGTCGGTAACAAGATCACCTCTAGTTGTGAGTGGGGGCTAAAGCCCCACCCATGCCTCAGTCTCCAAGCTGTGCCTCCTTGGGCCTCCTTTTTCTGATTTGCACAAAGGCATCACATAAGCTGGTGGAGGCCCTGCTTGTCATTTCCAAGATTTTTAAACTAAAAACTGTGCCATGGTTGTGGATGTAAAAACCACTGGATCACAGCAAAACCTCAGGGTGGCTTCATGGTGTACAGAGCATTCCGAGCACGTCTTGTTTTCTCATGAGAACTGCTGCAGAAGACAAGAAGTGTAGGCATGATTATCTCCATCTTACTGCTTTAGAAACTGGGGCCCAGAGATGCTGAGTGGCCAGCCTAAAGGCCACAGGCACCACCCAGCAGGCCAGATGGGTGCCCCCCCTGCTCCAGAATTAGTGCCCTGCATCATAACTTAGAAGATCTCAAGAACACAGCTTGAGGCTTGCCTGGGTGACTTGGCCAGTCCTGGTGGCCTGCCACTCCATGGTTACACGAGCCTATGGAGATGCAAGAGCCCTGTGGGTGGCTGACTCGTTGGGGGGACTCCCTGCATCAATCAGGCTTCGGTGGGACAGGCAGCCCTCACCCAGACATTGACCCCACCCCTTTTTGTGCTTGGTACTGTCCTTGGCAATCTAAGATTCAGCAGAAGGCTGGGAGAGAGAGGGGGACAGGTAGGCACAGACACCAAGAGGCCATGGAGAAAAAATCGTCAGAATTGAGACAAGATTATTAAGGAGGTGTTGAGGAGTCCCAAGGCGCACGAGTGCAATGTAATGATCTAGGCACTCAATAAACACGAGTGTAACCAAACAAATAGGGGATGGGGAGCTGTGAAGCCAGGTGTCCCTAACGTGACAACAAACTTGATGTTTGCTTATCACAGAGGGGGCGATCCTACCTCGGTCTAGCCCTCAAAGTGTGGCCCTGGACCAGCAGCATCACCTGAAAGTTGTTAGAGATGCCCCAGACCTATGGGACCAAACTCTGGGGGCAGGTCCAGCTCTGTGACTTGCAGAGCCCTTGGTGTGTTGCTGTTGCTCACCCAGATCTAAAAAGCATTTGTTACATTAGTCTCTCTACTCTTTTGCATGTTTGAAAATGAAAGAAAGAAAGGAAGAAAGAGGGAGGGAGGGAAAGGAAGGGAGAGAGGGACGAAGGGAGACGGCAGGTCATGGCCTATGTGGTGGATTTCACCAGTAATAACGCTTCACGACTCCCAAGGTCCAGCCCATCTCCAGACCAGGGTGGGTCCCAGGCTTCATGTGTTTTCAGAGCCCCTTGGGTGACAGTAATGTGCAACCAGGAAGGAGAACCACTGTGTTCCTGGGCAAGGTTTTAAAAAGATAGGTTGCGGGACTTCCCTGGTGGCACAGTGGTTAAGAGTCCGCCTGCCAGTGCAGGGGACACGGGTTCGAGCCCTGGTCCGGGAAGATCACACATGCCGCGGAGCAACTAAGCCCGTGCGCCACAACGACTGAGCCTGCGCTCCAGAGCCTGTGAGCCACAACTACTGAGCCTGCGTGCTGCAACTACTGAAGTCTGCGCGCCTAGAGCCCGTGCTCCACAACAAGAGAAGCCACCGCAATGAGAAGCCCACGCACCGCAGCAAAGACCCAATGCAACCATAAATAAATAAATAAATAAATAGTTAAAAAAATAAAAAGACGGGTCATACGCCATCAGTGACTTGTAAAGTCAGTTTGCTAGGCCATGACCAGTGTTTTCAATTTTTTTTCATAAATTTATTTATTTTTGGCTGCGTTCAGTCTTCATTGCTATGCGCAGGCTTTGTCTAGTTGCATCGAGCGGGGGCTACTCTTCGTTGCGGTGCATGGGCTTCTCACTGCGGTGGCTTCTCACGTTGCGGAGCGTGAGCTCTAGGCGTGCAGGCTTCAGTAGCTGTGGCTCACAGGCTCTAGAGCTCAGGCTCAGTAGTCGTGGCGCAGGCTCAGTAGTTGTGGCGCACGGGCTTAGTTGCTCCGTGGCATGTGGGATCTTCCCGGACCAGGACTCGAACTCATGTCCCTTGCATTGACAGGCAGATTCTTAACAACTGCACAACCAGGGAAGCCCTCAAATTTTTTATTGTTAATATTTTCAAACATATACAAAACTGAGACAGTAGTGTTATGAATCCCCACATATGCTTACCCAGCTCCAAATGTTATCAACATTTTGCTTATCTTTTTTCATTTATCCTCCCACTCCCTGTTCTTGGATGGAGTTTTTTAAGGCAAATCTCAGACAGTAACCACGTTAGCATGTAACCTTAACTAGGGTCCCGTTTTTTAAGTATAACTTCCATTTATCTCTGAAAATTTAATAAGCATTCCTTACTACCATCAAATACCCAATCCACATTCAAATTTACCTAACTGATCTAGGTTTTTAATTGAATAAAATAGATCAGATCGTTGAATAGAAAATACCGGAGTGCATTTCCTGTAGTAATGGTATGTGTGGTTTGTGGAAGTTGTTTCTTTTATCTATGTATAACCACGTTTTGTGTGGTCTTGAGGTGAGATACCTTTCTGCGGGCCATGGTCATAAAAAGGCCTCTTTGATGCCCACGTGATCTATCTTCTTCATCAGGCTTCCTGGAGCAAGGCTTGTTGGTCACGGATGCCAACCGGCTGTGGAAGCACTACACAAAGACCTTGCACTTCAAGCTGGACATGTTGTCCCTGGTCCCCACGGACCTGGCTTATTTTAAGCTGGGCATGAACTACCCAGAGCTGAGGTTCAACCGCCTACTAAAGTTGGCCCGGCTCTTCGAGTTCTTTGACCGCACAGAGACGAGGACCAACTACCCCAACATGTTCAGGATTGGGAACTTGGTCTTGTACATCCTCATCATCGTCCACTGGAATGCCTGCCTCTACTTTGCCATTTCCAAGTTCATTGGTTTCGGGACCGACTCCTGGGTCTACCCAAACATCTCAAACCCAGAGTATGGGCGCCTCTCCAGGAAGTACATCTACAGCCTCTACTGGTCTACCTTGACCCTGACCACCATCGGCGAGACCCCACCCCCCGTGAAAGATGAGGAGTATCTTTTTGTGGTCCTCGACTTCCTGGTGGGTGTCCTGATTTTTGCCACCATTGTGGGCAACGTGGGCTCCATGATCTCACACATGAACGCTTCGCAGGCTGAGTTCCAGGCCAAGAGTGACTCCGTCAAGCAGTACATGCAATTCCGCAAGGTGACCAAGGACTTGGAGACACGGGTGATCCGGTGGTTCGACTACCTGTGGGCCAACAAGAAGACGGTGGATGAGAGGGAGGTGCTCAAGTGCCTCCCCGACAAGCTGAGGGCCGAGATCGCCATCAGCGTGCACCTGGACACTCTGAGGAAGGTCCGCATCTTCCAGGACTGCGAGGCGGGGCTGCTGGTGGAGCTGGTGCTGAAGCTGCGGCCTGCGGTGTTCAGCCCCGGGGATTATATCTGCAAGAAGGGGGACATAGGGAGGGAGATGTACATCATCAAGGAGGGCAAGCTGGCTGTGGTGGCCGAGGATGGGGTCACCCAGTTCGTGGTCCTCAGCGATGGGAGTTACTTTGGCGAGATCAGCATCTTGAACATCAAGGGGAGCAAGTCGGGGAACCGCAGGACGGCCAACATCAGGAGCCTCGGTTACTCGGACCTGTTCTGCCTCTCCAGGGACGATCTGATGGAGGCGCTCACCGAATACCCTGAGGCCAAGAAGGCGCTGGAGGAGAAGGGGCGGCAGATCCTGATGAAGGACAACCTGATCGACGAGGAACTGGCCAAGGCCGGGGCGGACCCCCAGGGCATCGAGGAGAAAGTGGAGCATCTGGAGTCCTCCCTGGACACCCTGCAGACCAGGTTTGCACGGCTCCTGGCTGAGTACAGTGCCACCCAGATGAAAGTGAAACAGCGGCTCAGCCAACTGGAAAACCAGGTGAAGATCGGCCTCCCGCCTGACGGGGATGCTCCACAAACAGAGGCCAAACAACAGTGAAGACGCAGATGTCTGTCTCCCGCTTCCCAGAGCCAGCTGTCAGTGTGATGCTGCACGGCGTGGGACTTGGCCAGGGCTGAATTCCAGCTTTCCTTACCCTTTGCGAGCTGCATGGCCTCGGTTTCCTCATCTAGAAAGCGGGACTCTTGCCATCTGCCCCAGTTAAGTGGCAGGTTGCTGTGAGCTCACAAGAAGCACTGCATGCAGCCGGGCTTTGTAAAGAGTGGGGCGCCCCCTGCTCAAGAGTACGAGAGTGTGAGCACAGAGCTCTTTTAATTTTTATCCACAGAGAATTTTTAGACTTGTGAACTTCATTTTTTTTTTTTTATAAGTGGAAGATGATTTAGTCACCCACCCGCTTCTGCCCCTCACTTCACCCCCTTTTGCTGAGGGGGATGTAACAGAATCTGAAGTACATGTGGTAACTCAAATTCAATACACGAGACGGTTTGGGGCTTGTTTCTGACTCTGGTATATCCTCGTGTGCTCTTTGGGATGCTAGAAACCCTGGCCATTGGTGCTGCAACAAGCACAAGGGATAAAGCCAGGTCGCCCCAGTTGAGGTCACTTCGAGTCTGAGAAGCAAATCCAGGCTCCCTGCCATCCAGCTGCTGTGAAACCGGAATCTGTTTCATAGAAAAGAGCATCTCCGTTAGGGAAAGAGACATCTCCTAACTCGCCAGCGGGGTCCAAAGACAACCTCTCTCCTGGTACCTGAGTCAGGGTTCTGGGGCAGCCTGTTCTGACTTGGTGGGGAGACTTATGTGGAGGGGAAAGGTTCCCAGGTTGGAGGCTGGAATGGGGTCCTAAGCCAAACAAGCTGACCACTAGGACTTTTAGGAGATGAGACCCTTAGGCCATGTCTTTGCAAACTGCTCCTTGACCCCTGAAGAGGAAGCCTTGCTCTGCCTTGGAATTACATCCTGAGGCAAAGCTCTTAGCTGAAAATGTGCAGAGTGTAGAACCTAGCTCTTTTTGTCTAATCCAGTAAATAGTATTGCATTAACATTTTATATAAGATATCTCTAGATTTGGGTTCTATGTTTGTGAATTATTACCTTAATGGTCCATCCTTTGCTTAATACACATTGTAAATTACCCAAAGACGAGTCACTCTCCTGATGCAGAGAAGCCGTATATGTAGGTTTTCCTGATCCTCTTTTCCATCAACCTCTCTGTCTCTGTCTCCCCTTCTTCTTCCTTCTTTCTATTCTCTTCCTTCTCCTCTTCTTTCTTCCTGTTCTCTCTTGTTCTCGGACAAGATGCCCCATTTGCTTTGAAGTCTCTGTGGTCCACTGTTATATAATCCATATTCTACATAACTCGGCCCTAATGTAGTTCATCCAAAAGGTGCTGCCTTTTCAAGTATGTATTTTGGATTTACATGGGTCTCTTCTGGTTTTTACTATGGACCATTTGACCATTTTAACTTTCTAAAAGGAATTTCAAAGGCCTATTAAAGGAAAGTGTGATCCAAGCTCATATCAACAGCAAAATGTAACTAGCAACGTGTTATCAAAATGCATATATTTTAAAAAGCCTTTTGACTATTAATTTTGCCTACATTCATGTTTGCACAGGAAAAATAGAGACCTGGATTTTAAAAATACTGGATGACTCCTGCTTCATAGTTTGTTATAAGGGAAGATTCAGTCCTGGGGTATGTTTCTAGGGCAATGAGCCCGGCTTCCCCAAAAGAACGGGCGCTGGTGAACAGGGACAGCACATGCTCGATGTGAAGGGGATAAGTACGAAAGCAGGTAAGAAAATGCAACCGAAGCGGCAGCGTTTGTCAGAGTGAGTGATTCAAAGCATTCAGATATATAAGAAGTGTATCCCAAGCAGGATGCTAAGATTCCTGGCATCACTTGTCCCGGGTCACCATGGGGGTTGGTCAGGCAGTTCAGGAAGGCATGGATGGACAGGAAGCTGGGTAAGCGTTTCCCCAGCTTTGTCCTGTGCTTATACCCAAGGAGTTTGGGTGGCAAGTTAGAATATGGGCCTTGGGGAATCAGGACTGCTGTCGTTCAAGTCACAGCCCTGCCCCTTGGGCAGGTTATTTTGCCTCACTAGGCCTCGCTTTCCCCACCTGAAAAATGGGAACCATATTGCCTACCTCACAGAGTTGTGGTGAATAAACTTTAAAATAACACAGTATAACGGGGACGGCCCGCTCAACTTCTTGGGTGCACAAAAAGTCACGTTATCGTCCTAGAGAAATAAATGAATACAATTTCATCTAGTTAAGATGAAAAGATTGTGCCAAGATTGTTGGGAAGTTGGGTCTCGGGTTGTTTTCAGGACTGCCGTTCACTGTCTTGGAACCGGAGACAGGGTTTGTGGTCTCCCAGCCATTGTGCTGCCCCTGAAGGCCGTTCTTCCCTCTGTACTGGGTTCAGCCATGGGGATCCATGCTGGGAGATAGCTTCTCTTCGTGCCTTTTGTGGGAATCTAAGCTCATTGAGGTCTGTGTGTGTGTGTGTCTGTCTGTTTGTCTCAAAAGAGAGAGTCTCTGAAACAAAGAAAGCAAATGTTGGTGGGCACCCCTCAAGGTATGGACTGATGCAGGATCCCTGGCAGAACCCTGGGGAGGTGAGAGGTGGCAGGACCTCAGATGAGCGGGCTGGAGCTTTTTGGCTCTGGGGAAACCAGCCTGGTAAAGAGTCCAATGCCTCAAGCTTGGAAAGTCCCAAAGCTTCCAGGCCTCAAGGAACCACACAGAGCTGGGCAAAGGAGATCTTGGCAGTAACAGTATAAGGAGCATCTGAAAAAATTTGTAACTCAACTGATTCAGTAAGAGAGAAGACTGCTTCATCCCCCATGAAACACTGGCCCTCAGACATATGATGCTACCAACTCCCAAAATTAAGCAGGACCAGAGACCTGCTGTAACTTTATCAAGCACACTCTGGTCCCTCTCAGACCCTTCTGCCAGGGTTCTGTCAAATAGAAGGAAGCCAAGGCAGATTCCTTCTCTGGGTCTGGGGCCATTAGTAATACCCTGAGGAAGGAGAGGTGAAATGCAAACCCTGAATGAATAAAACGGAGAAGAAAAATGCTTCTCTGAAGTGCAGGGAGTGATTTTGTTTAGTAAAGTTGAAGACTTATTCCTGTAACATAGCAACCACACTTCTGGCTCCCATACACAGGTAAGCTTTCACACATGTGTACCCAGAGACATGTACAAATGTTTATTGCAGCGTTATTTTAGTACACAAAAGAAAATAACCTAAATACCAGAATCTAAGAACACCCTTGCAGCCCACAGTTATTACAAGGGTTGGGGGGCACCCCTCTCCTTTCAATTTAAAGCCGGAAACATCCTGTGATCCCGGTCCTAAACGGGCTCCTCCTCTCCCTCCCACTTTGCACCCTCGGTCCAGCCTCTCTTCTGACATCACACACGAGCAACCCCTGTCCCTCACCGGACACTGGCCTCGCACTCAGCTGCACACAAATGCAGTCGAGGTTGGGGGAGCCTCCGAGACCCACTTCCGAACCCCTACAATGCTCCCGGAGCCCTCCAGAAAGTTTTTTTAAGTGCCAAGCAATTGCCTGGCCCCCAGGGTGGGCGCTCCCTTGCACCGCTGGGGCACAGCTGGTTCGCAGAGTGCACTGGTACAAGTCCGGGAGCCTGAAAGAACAGAAGGAGCACCCCTGGGCTTCCCAACTGTGCAGCCTCCTCTGCAGAGAAGAAAAGCAAGTGGCTTTCGGCACCTGGATTGTGGTTTTTTTCTGTCTGGTGTCTGCCCCCTGGTGGGTGAGGCTGGTCTAGAAGCTGGTGCAGGCTTCCACCGCTGGGTGGAGCTGGGTCTTGGCCCTCTGGTGGACAGGGTTGTATCTAGAGGTGGCTGTGCGCTCAGGAACTCTTCAGGCAGCCCGTCTGCTAATGGGTGGGGCTGTGTCCCTGCCTAGTTAGTTGTTTGGCCTGAGGCTTCCCAGCACTGGTGCCTGTAGGCTGTTGGGCGGGGCCAGGTCTTGGGGCTAATGAGCCAAGGTGGAAGCCCCAAGGAGCATTGTTCCCACACTAGAATGTTCCCCAATATTGCTGCCACCAGTGTCTATGTTCCCCAGGTGAGCTGCAGCCACCCCCTCCCTCAACCTCTCTGGGGCACTCTCCAAGACCAGCAGGTAGGTCTGGCCCAGGTTCCTGTCAAATTACTGCTTTTGCTCTGGGTCCCCGTGAGCGTGAGATTTTGTGTGTACCTTTATGAATGAAGTCTCTGTTTCCCAAAGACTCCTGAAATTAAGCCCTGATGGTCTTCAAAGCCAAATCTTCTGGGGGCTCATCTTCCTGGTTCAGGACCCCCAGGCTGGGGAGCCCGAAGTGGGGCTCAGAACTCTCCTGTGGGAGAATCTCTACAATATAATTATTCTCCAGTTTGTGGGTTGCCCACCCAGGGGTATGGGACTTGATTATATCACAAGTCTGCCCCTCCTACCTGTGTTGACATGGTTCCTTCTTTATGTCTTTAGCTGTAGAAGATCTTTTCTGATAGGTTCTGGTCTTTTTTATTGATGGTTGTTCTGCAAATAGTTGTGATTTTGTTGTGCTCGTGAGAGGAGGTGAGCTCAGGGTCTTTCTACTCTGCCTTTTTGGTCATTCTCCCCTCATCCTCTCAAATCTGACCTGCACTTTGTCCCTCAACCTTGGATGTGAGCCTGGATATTCCTTGAACCTCAAAAATAGTCACGGGCCTTGAACCAAATCCTGGACTTGGACATTGGAAGTAGACCTTTGACCTTGCACCTGAACTTTGAACCTGGAACTCAGACCTAGCCCTAGACCTTGGACCTGATCTTTGGACTATACCTCAGGTCTCAACCTGGTCAAAGGCCTTGGCTACTGACCTTGTCCTTGGACTTGGACCTGAAAACCAGACACCAGACCTCAGCCATGTACTTGGATTAGTCCTGAACCTTGAATCTGGCCTTAAATCTGATCTTTAGTTATAGATCTGAACCTTGATACATGGTCCTCAAACCTGGACCCTAGACCTCAGTCCTGGACCTAGATATGACCTTCATCCTGGAACTTCATACTGAAACTTGATCTGCCCTTGAACATTGAACCTGGAGCTTGGACATGAATTTGAAATGAAACATGTGCTTGACATTATTATACTTTGGACCTAGAACCTAGAATTTGGAACTGGACTTCTAAACTTGAATGTGGGGACTTCCCTGGTGGCGCAGTGGTTAAGAATCCGCCTGCCAGTGCAGGGGACACGGGTTCGATCCCTGGTCTGGGAAGATCCCACATGCCGCAGAGCAACTAAGCCCACGTGCGCCACAGCTACTGAGCCCACATGCTGCAACTACTGAAGCCCATGCGCCTAGAGCCTGTGGTCTGCAACAAGAGAAGCCACCGCAGTGAGAAGCCCACACACTGCAACAAAGAGTAGCCCCCGCTCACCACAACTAGAGAAAGCCCGCGTGTAGAAACGAAGACCCAACGCAGCCATAAATAAATAAATAAACAAACAAACAAATAAACTTGAATGTGGACCTTTGGTTTAACCTCAGATTTGGACCTAGACCTGACCTTGTTCATAGACATGGGCCTGGACCTTAGATCTGGACGTGGATACTGAACTTGGACTTTGGACCTGCGTGAAGTCATCAGGGCTCGTGGCTGAACTGTTCTCCTATACTTTGGTAATGAACCTAGACCTGGACCTTGAACCTGCACTTGGACACTGGTCCTTCATCTTTGATCTGGATTCGTCCAGGATCTTATGGTTCACTAGACCAGCCAGTGGTGAAGACAGAAAAAAGCTAACTGATTATTCATTGCTATAATCATGCTTTCTTTATCCAACCCAATGAGAATTGTGGACTCAGTGTTGAAAATAATCAGGTATTTTAAATGTCAGTCCATTTCAAGGTCCTGGGCTCTAGGCATTGATTCCTCCCCCCGTCCTCCAACATTGTATTTTGAAAATTTTCAAACAAGCAGCAAAACAAATAATTGTGCAGTTAAACAACCATATACCCACCACCTAGATTCTACCATTTACATTTTACTGTATTTATTTTATCACTATCCATCTATCCATTCTTCTATCCATCCATTAATGCACCTAATTTTAAAATATATTTCAAAGTAAATTGCAGCTATCAGTATTCCTCCCAAATTCTTCAACATGCATATCATTAGAGTTCTGTGTTTACAGATTTTTTTTCTATTGAGGCAAAATGCATGTGTGAACTATGAAGTACACAAATATTAAGCATATGTCCTCTGAGTTTTGATAAATGTATACCCTGCAACATACCCCTATCCAGATGTAGAACATTACCAACACTCCAGAAAGTTCCTCACACTCCTTCCCAGGCAACCTCCATTCCACTCTCAGAGGCGACCACCTTTCTGAGTTGTTTCCATCAGAGATTGCTGGTTTTTAAAAAATATCTAACAAAGGTTTTATACTAACCTTTCCTGATATATGGGGCCCATGTGTCAGTGGTCATGGCTTTGAGTGGCTTTTTGTGAATGCTGATGGGAAGTGAGACACCAGGCTAGGTCAGGCCCTGATGGCTCATCGGGAGGATCTTGCATTTGCTGATGGATGACCTAGAATCCAAGAATGGGGGCTGGCTTATGACCAGAAAGTACTAATTTGCCTTGGGCCGGCATAGAACTGGGATTTCCCAGACCCAGGCTCTAATCAGTTAAGCTAATAGGAAGAGAGTTGGAGACACATGCCGTAATACTCCCTGACGCGTGGAAGGCACTTGCTTGGTGTCTGGTACAATA